CAGCGCTCACGGGACATCCCTTCGCCTCAGCAGCTTCGTGAGTGGTACGCTGGGCGTCAGAGGGGTGGGGGTACTGGTCCCTGCACCTACGTTCTTCGTTCCGGCGACCGCGCGGGTGAGCAGTGTGGGGGTGCCCACGCCACCCAGCGCTGCTTTGGCCGCCTGACGGACGCTTGGCGTCAGCAGTTCCCTGGGGCTAGTGAGATCCCTCGCTGGGATGAGCTTCTCAGGGCTGGTGTAGCGATCTTTGATCTTGATTTTGATGCTATCCTTACTGCTATGTATGTTGTGGATTATAGTGAGGAGAATGAGGGTTACCGGTGTTTCCAGCCCGACCCGGGCATTGGTACTGCTGCGCTAGGTGCTTGTGAGGCTGCTGCTCTAGGTGCCAGTGCGTCTGCGCTCTCAGGTACTGGTGAGACTGCGTTCTCAGGTACTGAGTCGTCCTCGTCCTCCCTCACTTTCACACTTGACTCCGGAGCTTCTCGCTCCTTCTTTCGAGACCGCACTACCCTTTCGCCGCTCGCCAGGCCGGTTGCGGTCTCCCTTGCTGACCCCTCTGGGGGTCCTGTCCTGTCTCACTTCTCCACTGTCCTCCCGTGTCCGGCTGCCCCTTCGGGCACCCTGTCGGGTCTGTACCTTCCCTCGTTCTCTACGAACTTGGTGAGTGGAGCGGACCTGCAGGATGGGGGTGTTCACCAGTTCACTCCTACGCGTCAGCGGGTGACCCACTGCACGGAGGCTCGCACAGGCCGACACCTGGCCACGTTCTCGCGTCGGCCGGGGTCGAGTCTCTACACCCTCACCGTTGAGTCTCCTCCTGTCCCTGCGTCTGGTCAGGTGGCTGCGTCGGGTCAGGTACTTGCTGCTGCGTCCCGGTCAGGTCCTGAGTCTGCCCCCTGTTCTTGTCGCCTCCTGTCTCACGAGACTCTCCTGTGGCACCACCGTCTTGGCCACCCCTCCTTGCCCCGTCTTCGGAGCATGGCTTCCCGTGTCCTTGTCTCTGGTCTTCCCCAGTCTCTCCCTCCTCTCCCCTCCGGGCCAGGACCTTCCTGTGTCCCCTGTGTCGAGGGTCGCCTTCGGGCTACTCCTCACTCCTCCCACTTCCCCCCGACAGAGGCTCCCCTGCAAACGCTTCACATGGATGTGTGGGGCCCAGCCCCCGTCCGTGGGCAGGGTTACGAGCGATACTTCCTGTTGGTGGTTGACGACTACTCGCGTTACACCACAGTCCTCCCCTTGCGCAGCAAGGGTGCGGTCACTGAGGTGCTGATCGGCTGGATCCGCGAGGCTCGTCTCCAGCTCAGGAAGAGCTTCGGCTCGGACTTTCCTGTTCTGCGTCTGCACTCTGACAGAGGCGGAGAGTTCTCTTCTCGCCTTCTGCGAGACTACTGTCGTGCACGGGGGATCCGCCAGACCTTCACGCTTCCGGACTCACCACAGCAAAATGGGATTGCTGAGCGCCGCATTGGCATGGTCATGGATGTCGCTCGTACGTCCATGATGCATGCGGCTGCCCCCCATTTTCTGTGGCCGTTTGCGGTGAGGTACGCGGCGCATCAGCTCAACCTTCACCCCCGGGTCTCTCGGCCTGCGATGTCCCCAGTCTTGCTGTGGACAGGGAAGGTTGGCGATGCGTCTGTGTTCCGTGTCTGGGGATCTCGGGCGTTTGTCCGCGACTTATCTGCGGACAAGCTGTCCCCTCGTGCTGCTCCCTGTGTCTTTCTTCGTTCTGCTCCTTCAGCAGGTTCTTGGTCTTTCTCCTCCAGTAGAGGGTCCACCGCCTGTCCAGTCGCAGTCCCTACTGGAGCCTTCCTCTCCACTGCCTGCTCCCTCTCCTTACACTGGTCCTACTGGAGGTCTTGCTGAGCGTCGTGAGCCTGCGTCTCGCCCCGCGTCGCCTGTTCGTGCTGCTCGCGCTAGTGGTCGCAGTTCGCGTCAGCGTCCTCCTCCTGTCCCTGGCACGCACCGGATGTCTCTGCGTCCGTCCACTGCTCCTCTGCGTGCCCCTTTGCCTTCTCCTCCTGAGTCCTCTCTTCCTGCGCTTGCCGACCCTGAGTCGGACTCTCTTCGCGCTGCGAGTCCTACTGTCACGCGTCTGCTTGCTACTGTCGTCACTGACCCCTCTTTTGAGTCCACTGCTGCGTCTGCTCTAGTCGCTGAGCTCGTCGACTTTGCTGCTCGCTGTCGTATCGACTACGCTGCTAGTCTTGTTGCTGAGTCTGCGTCTGTCTGTCCTCCGTCCGTCGGGGGTGAGTGTGCTCTTGGCACGGACGTCCTAGAGGACAGGCAGGAGGAGTTACAGTGTCTAGCGGCTGCTTCACCTCATCTCGCGTCTGTACTGCTTGCCCCTGAGGGAGACCCGGATGCACTAGACATCCCGACTCCGCGTTCTTACGCGGAGGCCGTAGAGGGCCCCTACTCCTCTTAGTGGCAGGCAGCCATGGATGCAGAGATGGCTTCCTGGAAGTCCACAGGCACCTACGTTGACGCGGTTCCCCCTCCTGGGGCGAACATCGTCAGTGGCATGTGGATCTTCAGGGTGAAGCGGCCGCCGGGCTCTCCACCTGTCTTCAAGGCACGGTACGTTGCTCGTGGCTTCAGTCAGCGGCAGGGAGTTGACTACTTTCAGACCTTCTCTCCCACCCCGAAGATGACTACTCTTCGGGTGCTGCTGCACATAGCCGCTCAGCGCGACTACGAGCTTCACTCTCTCGACTTCAGCACTGCGTTCTTGCAGGGTAGCCTGCACGAGGAGATCTGGCTTCGCCGTCCACCTGGCTTCACTGGGACTTTCCCTCCTGGTACCCAGTGGAGCCTCAGACGGCCAGTCTACGGTCTCCGCCAGGCACCGCGTGAGTGGCACGACACACTGAGGACTACGCTTGCGGCTCTTGGGTTTGCTCCTTCTACTGCTGACCCGTCGCTGTTTCTTCGCACCGACACTTCCCTGCCGCCGTTCTACATCCTCGTGTACGTCGACGACTTGGTCTTTGCCACAGCGGACACTGCTGGACTCGCCTACGTGAAGTCCGAGCTGCTGAAGAGACACACGTGCACAGACCTGGGTGAACTGCGCAGCTACCTTGGCTTGCAGATCACTCGGGACAGAGCACGCCGCACCATTACCTTGACTCAGTCACACATGGTGCAGCAGGTCCTTCAGCGCTTCGGCTTCACGTACTCCTCGCCTCAGGCCACTCCTCTGCCTACTCGCCACTCACTCTTAGCTCTGCCTTCGGATGAGTCCGTAGAGTCGAGTGGTCTGTATGCAGAGCTTGTTGGCTGCCTCATGTACCTGATGACCTGCACACGACCTGACCTTGCATACCCTCTGAGCATTCTTGCACGCTATGTTGCTCCTGGGAGACACAGACCGGAGCACATGGCTGCAGCGAAGAGGGTATTGCGCTACCTGTGCAGTACGTCAGGCATGGGGCTAGTGCTTGGAGGGCGGAGTCCAGTGGTCCTTACCGGCCACGCGGACGCTTCTTGGGCTGACGACCAGGCTACGCAGCGGTCGTCACAGGGTTACACCTTCAGCCTTGGTTCCGGCTCTGTCTCGTGGCGGTCTACTCGCTCGTCTTCGGTTCTCGGCTCCAGTTGTGAGGCTGAGATCTACGCCGGAGCCATGGCTGCACAGGAGCTTCGCTGGCTCACCTACCTGCTGACTGACCTTGGAGAGCCGCCTCGTTCTCCTCCAGTGCTGTACGTAGACAACAAGGCTATGCTGGCCTTGTGTCGAGAGCAGCGCTTGGAGCACAGAACGAAGCACATTGCTCTCCGCTACTTCCTTGCTCGTGAGTTGCAGCAGCGTGGTCAGTTGCGACTTGCGTACGTGGCCTCTGAGGCCAACACTGCTGATGTGTTCACCAAGGCACTTGCGCCTTGTGACCATCAGCGCTTCTGCACCCAGCTGGGTCTTGTGCCTGTCTTGCCTCACTTGCTCTCCTCTTGACTTTACTTGTACTGTGACATATATATATACCTGCTCTTGCTTGTCTAGTTTTATATATATATGTCTGTACTCTTGCTTGTGAACTGGCCTTTGGCCTTGCTCTTGTGCTCGGACTGTGTGGTGACTTTGTGATCCACCCTGAGCTTTGCTTTGTCTTGCTTGACTGGTCTTGTGACCCCTTGTTCTCCCCCACTTTGCCTATGGGGGTGTGTCAGAACATATCTATAGCTTATACTGCTGTGTAGGCTGTAGTGGGGTATCCCATAGGGGGTACAACCCAGTTAGGGTTTCATATTTGTACTGCTTTCATTCATAGTTCATCCCATTCCTGCTTACTCATTTACACATGATGCAGTCAGCGCCGATTTCCGACTCTCGGCGTAGGCAGCATCGACTTCTTCGTCAAAAGGTGCTTGACTGCTGGGGTTGGGGGAATGCTGCTTGACTCAAAGGTGCTTCTTTTATGTATCTGCTCGCTTGTGTGTTTGTCGAAGGTGCGAGAGGATGACATAGACTGGTTTCGTTCTGGGTTTGCAACTCGTGGATTCAGGACGCCTATTGTGACGCAGAGTATGCACGTGGCTTTTAGATTACAAATCGACAGCTATTGTGTATTGACGTCTATTGACCGTGTCAGGTGACGTGATTCGCGGGTTTTGCGTCGCCAGCGCGGATGAGCCCAGTCCACGATCTCGCGCGAACCCAGAGTAGCTGCTGCCGCTGACGTGTGCTCTACTGATCTTAGACGGGTCAACGCGGTCATAAAACTCTCTCGCTCGGCAGGCAGAGTCAATGCCAGTAAAGACAGGTTTGTGTTTGATCGGTGTGCTGATTCCGCGCACAGTCCAGGGCCTTGTTCGACTGGCACATCAGTGGTGAGGCTCGGGTACCAGCTCAGGTTTGGCTGTCAAATATCGGTGTCTGGAAGGGTGCGCAGTAAACTGTGAAGTCTGTTAGACGGCTTTGCTACATAGTATGCTTAATTAGGAACGTTAAACGAGATACACGGTATAATCGAAGAAGAGAGACTCACACGGGTACAATGAACGGGTTTGTGGCGGAGCATGGGGTGGGAGGTCAGGAAGGGGAAGGAGCAGCCTACCCAGGAGAACCGATAGGGGAAGAGAGATGCTACGCGCAAGGGGAAGGGGGAGGATACGCGACAGGGGAAGGGGGAGGATACGCGACGGGGGAAGGAGGAGGATGCGCGACGGGGGAAGGGGGTGGATACGCGACAAGGGAAGGGGGAGGATACGCGACAGGGGAAGGGGGAGGATACACGACAGGGGAAGGGGGAGGATACGCGACGGGTGCAAGGGGGGGATATGCGCAAGGGGAAGGAGGCGGATATGCGACAGGGGAAGGGGAAGGATACGCGACGGGTGCAGGGGGAGAATACGCGACAGTGCAAGGGGAAGGATACGAGCAAGGGGAAGGGGGGGGAAACGAGACAGGGGTAGGGGGAGGATACGCGACCGGCGCAGGAGGAGAATACGAGACAAGGGAAGGGGATGGGTACGAGGGCGAGGAAAGGGGCGAGGACGGAGGAGAGGAAGGGGGAGAAGACGAGGGAGAGGAATGGGGGGAAGAAGAGGGTGAGGAATGGGGAGAAGACGGGACAGGGGAACAAGGTGCATACGCGTCGGGGGAAGGGGGAGTACACGCGACAGTGCAAGGGGGAGGATACGTGACAGATGAAGGGGGAGGATACGGGACAGTGCGAGGCGGAGAAGACGAGGGAGACGAATGGGGAGAAGGCGGGACAGGGGAACAAGGTGCATACGTGGCAGGGGAAGGGGGAGTACACGCGACAGTGCAAGGGGGAGGATACGAGGGAGAGGAAGGGGGAGAAAATGGGACAGGGGAAGGGGGAGGATACGCGGCAGGGGAAGGGGGCAGATACGTCGTAAGGGGGGGGGAAGTCTATGAGGAACAGGAAGGGGGGGAGTTTGCGGCGCAGAGTGAGGGAGGATACGAGGAAGAGGAGGGGGGGAGAGTCATGGCCGAAGGCGGGGAAGACGGTCGGGCGAGAGATCCTGCCGAAGGCGATGGTGCGCTGAACGCAGCGGTGCGACAGGAGGCACATGAAGGTGGGGAGGACGACGCTGAGGATGATGATGTTGAACGTATGCTGTACCCTGTCAGGCCGGTTGCGGAAGCAAGCCGTGGCTCCACGATGGATGAAAGTGCGGAGGAGGCAGCCGCGATCATGCGGGGCAAGGCCAAGTGCATGGCGACCCTAAACATGGATCAGGGCGTGCGGAATGACGTGCCGTGCAATGTCAAGAAGGCTGCAAGGAAACGTGGGCGCGATGAAGCAGTTATTGAGCAATTGGCGCCTGGAGACGGGCGCGGCAAAGCACGGGGCAGAGGGCGGGGAGAAGGGCGAGGTGGGCGAGCAGGGCGGGGCGGAGGGAGAGGAGGGCGAGGCAGAGGACAGGATGATGGAGAGGGGGAAGGGCGTGGAGGGCGAGGCAGCGGCCGAGCAGGGCAGGGCGGAGGGAGAGGAGGGCGACGCAGAGGACAGGATGAACAAGAGGGAGAAGGGAGTGGAGGGCGGGGCGTCGGGCGTGGAGGGCGCGGCGGAAATCGTGGAGCGGGTCAACTTGGCCGCGGGGCTGGAGGTAGAGGAAGGGGCGAAGGAATGGGACGAGGAAGAGGAAGGGGTGCCACAGGTAGGAGTGACGTCAGTCCCTCTCTTTACCATCTTTCCGCCCTTGCCTCCCTGCCATTGACAGGAGATGCACGGAGAAGGAGGGAGGGAGAGGCGGGGGTGTGCATGGTCCTCTCTGCTCCTTTCCTATTGGGTTATTTACAGCCCCACTGTTCTCACCCAGCCCGCTCTCTGCCATCTTTCCACCCTTGCCTCCCTGCCATTGACAGGAGATGCACGGTGGAGGAGGGAGGGAGAGGCGGGGGTGTGCATGGTCCTCTCTGCTCCTTTCCTATTGGGTTATTTTCAGCCCCGATGTTCTCACCCAGCCCGCTCTCTGCCATCTTTCCACCCTTGCCTCCCTGCCATTGACAGGAGATGCACGGAGGAGGAGGGAAGGAGAGGCGGGGGTGTGCATGGTCCTCTCTGCTCCTTTCCTATTGGGTTATTTACAGCCCCACTGTTCTCACCCAGCCCGCTCTCTGCCATCTTTCCACCCTTGCCTCCCTGCCATTGACAGGAGATGCACGGTGGAGGAGGGAGGGAGAGGCGGGGGTGTGCATGGTCCTCTCTGCTCCTTTCCTATTGGGTTATTTTCAGCCCCGATGTTCTCACCCAGCCCGCTCTCTGCCATCTTTCCGCCCTTGCCTCCCTGCCATTGACAGGAGATGCACGGAGGAGGAGGGAGGGAGAGGCGGGGGTGTGCATGGTCCTCTCTGCTCCTTTCCTATTGGGCTATTTTCAGCCCCGATGTTCTCACCCAGCCCGCTCTCTGCCATCTTTCCGCCCTTGCCTCCCTGCCATTGACAGGAGATGCACGGAGGAGGAGGGAGGGAGAGGCGGGGGTGTGCATGGTCCTCTCTGCTCCTTTCCTATTGGGTTATTTTCAGCCCCGCTATTCTCACCCAGCCCGCTCTCTGCCATCTTTCCACCCTTGCCTCCCTGCCATTGACAGGAGATGCACGGAGGAGGAGGGAGGGAGAGGCGGGGGTGTGCATGGTCCTCTCTGCTCCTTTCCTATTGGGCTATTTTCAGCCCCGCTGTTCTCACCCAGCCCGCTCTCTGCCATCTTTCCACCCTTGCCTCCCTGCCATTGACAGGAGATGCACGGAGGAGGATGGAGGGAGAGGCGGGGGTGTGCATGGTCCTCTCTGCTCCTTTCCTATTGGGTTATTTTCAGCCCCGATGTTCTCACCCAGCCCGCTCTCTGCCATCTTTCCACCCTTGCCTCCCTGCCATTGACAGGAGATGCACGGAGGAGGGAGGGAGAGGCGGGGGTGTGCATGGTCCTCTCTGCTCCTTTCCTATTGGGCTATTTTCAGCCCCGCTGTTCTCACCCAGCCCGCTCTCTGCCATCTTTCCACCCTTGCCTCCCTGCCATTGACTGGAGATGCACAGAGGAGGAGGGAGGGAGAGGCGGGGGTGTGCATGGTCCTCTCTGCTCCTTTCCTATTGGGCTATTTTCAGCCCCGATGTTCTCACCCAGCCCGCTCTCTGCCATCTTTCCACCCTTGCCTCCCTGCCATTGACAGGAGATGCACGGAGGAGGAGGGAGGGAGAGGCGGGGGTGTGCATGGTCCTCTCTGCTCCTTTCCTATTGGGTAATTTTCAGCCCCACTGTTCTCACCCAGCCCGCTCTCTGCCATCTTTCCACCCTTGCCTCCCTGCCACTGACAGGAGATGCACGGAGGAGGAGGGAGGGAGAGGCGGGGGTGTGCATGGTCCTCTCTGCTCCTTTCCTATTGGGCTATTTTCAGCCCCGCTGTTCTCACCCAGCCCGCTCTCTGCCATCTTTCCACCCTTGCCTCCCTGCCATTGACAGGAGATGCACGGAGGAGGAGGGAGGGAGAGGCGGGGGTGTGCATGGTCCTCTCTGCTCCTTTCCTATTGGGCTATTTTCAGCCCCGCTGTTCTCACCCAGCCCGCTCTCTGCCATCTTTCCGCCCTTGCCTCCCTGCCATTGACAGGAGATGCACGGAGGAGGAGGGAGGGAGAGGCGGGGGTGTGCATGGTCCTCTCTGCTCCTTTCCTATTGGGTTATTTTCAGCCCCGATGTTCTCACCCAGCCCGCTCTCTGCCATCTTTCCGCCCTTGCCTCCCTGCCATTGACAGGAGATGCACAGAGGAGGAGGGAGGGAGAGGCGGGGGTGTGCATGGTCCTCTCTGCTCCTTACCTATTGGGTTATTTTCAGCCCCGCTGTTCTCACCCAGCCCGCTCTCTGCCATCTTTCCACCCTTGCCTCCCTGCCATTGACAGGAGATGCACGGAGGAGGAGGGAGGGAGAGGCGGGGGTGTGCATGGTCCTCTCTGCTCCTTTCCTATTGGGTTATTTTCAGCCCCGCTGTTCTCACCCAGCCCGCTCTCTGCCATCTTTCCACCCTTGCCTCCCTGCCATTGACAGGAGATGCACGGAGGAGGAGGGAGGGAGAGGCGGGGGTGTGCATGGTCCTCTCTGCTCCTTTCCTATTGGGTTATTTACAGCCCCACTGTTCTCACCCAGCCCGCTCTCTGCCATCTTTCCACCCTTGCCTCCCTGCCATTGACAGGAGATGCACGGAGGAGGAGGGAGGGAGAGGCGGGGGTGTGCATGGTCCTCTCTGCTCCTTTCCTATTGGGTTATTTACAGCCCCACTGTTCTCACCCAGCCCGCTCTCTGCCATCTTTCCACCCTTGCCTCCCTGCCATTGACAGGAGATGCACGGAGGACGAGGGAGGGAGAGGCGGGGGTGTGCATGGTCCTCTCTGCTCCTTTCCTATTGGGTTATTTACAGCCCCGCTGTTCTCACCCAGCCCGCTCTCTGCCATCTTTCCACCCTTGCCTCCCTGCCATTGACAGGAGATGCACGGAGGAGGAGGGAGGGAGAGGCGGGGGTGTGCATGGTCCTCTCTGCTCCTTTCCTATTGGGTTATTTTCAGCCCCACTGTTCTCACCCAGCCCGCTCTCTGCCATCTTTCCACCCTTGCCTCCCTGCCATTGACAGGAGATGCACGGAGGAGGAGGGAGGGAGAGGCGGGGGTGTGCATGGTCCTCTCTTCTCCTTTCCTATTGGGTTATTTACAGCCCCACTGTTCTCACTCAGCCCGCTCTCTGCCATCTTTCCACCCTTGCCTCCCTGCCATTGACAGGAGATGCACGGAGGAGGAGGGAGGGAGAGGCGGGGGTGTGCATGGTCCTCTCTGCTCCTTTCCTATTGGGTTATTTACAGCCCCACTGTTCTCACCCAGCCCGCTCTCTGCCATCTTTCCACCCTTGCCTCCCTGCCATTGACAGGAGATGCACGGAGGAGGAGGGAGGGAGAGGCGGGGGTGTGCATGGTCCTCTCTGCTCCTTTCCTATTGGGTTATTTACAGCCCCGCTGTTCTCACCCAGCCCGCTCTCTGCCATCTTTCCACCCTTGCCTCCCTGCCATTGACAGGAGATGCACGGAGGAGGAGGGAGGGAGAGGCGGGGGTGTGCATGGTCCTCTCTGCTCCTTTCCTATTGGGTTATTTTCAGCCCCACTTTTCTCACCCAGCCCGCTCTCTGCCATCTTTCCACCCTTGCCTCCCTGCCATTGACAGGAGATGCACGGAGGAGGAGGGAGGGAGAGGCGGGGGTGTGCATGGTCCTCTCTGCTCCTTTCCTATTGGGTTATTTTCAGCCCCACTGTTCTCACCCAGCCCGCTCTCTGCCATCTTTCCACCCTTGCCTCCCTGCCATTGACAGGAGATGCACGGAGGAGGAGGGAGGGAGAGGCAGGGGTGAAATCGATATGCCTTCGTAATGTCCAACTCACACTTGCACAAAGTCGTTGTATATGTGTCATCGCTGGGTGGGGTGTTGGTTATGACCCTGGCAGGTCCTATCGCGAACACTGGGATTGGGCCACCCATGGCGATTTGTCGCTTCGAACTTGCTCCACAAGTACACTCGCGACCTGCCTTTCAGATGCTGCAGCCACAACATGCGCCAGCTGTAGCCAGTGCTCGGCCGACCGTGGGCAGATCTGGGGGACAGGGGCAAGTACCTACAGCCGCACCGTGCAACTCGGGCTGGCAAAACGCTGGAGAGACGGGGACTGCACCAGCTCCGCTACTGGCACATTCGTTAAACTCTGGCCGGTTGGGCGGTGCATCTGGTGAGTACAGCCAGGGCCAGAACCGTGTGAACCCGGGTGCTGCCAGCGCATCACGTCCTGCAAGCCCGAGCCCAGCCCATATCAACGGTTTCCCGGCTGCTTCCCAGCGAGCAGCCATCCCGAATGCCAGTGGTGCTAGGTCCGGCGCAGCAGCTTCACACAGATCAACATCTTTTGGGGGGCAGCCTCCCCCTAGCATGATGCCTGGTAGAGGGGTCCACGTGCCTATAGCTGATGCGCACACTCCCCACCTTGGTTCCCCTGCCTCAGTAGGTCATGTACCGGGCGGCTCCTCAAGAAACCCCCCTGGGAGTGGAAATCTCGCGAGGCCAGGTGTCTCCTCTGGACACGGCTATGGTTCTCGTGGGGGCATGCATCAACCCACCTCCTCCCCAGGTCATGCGGCTGCTTATTCAGGCCATTCCAACCATGAGTTGGGCGCCATCCCCAATGGAATAGGTGGGCGTATCAGCGGCGGTGCACGCGCAGCAGCATCAGCACCAGCGTCTCCTGCGAGTATGGGACGTGCTCCAGTGGCACATGGACCGTCCGTCTCGCATCCGCTGAACCAGTCGGCCTCGGCCGGTAGTCGGAGGCCATTGGCTGCACCGAGGCCAAGACTCGGCATCCCCCTTGACCCGGGCCCTCGCCCAGTCGCATCGGTGGCAAAGAAAGCTGCGATGAATAAGTATGCAACGAAGGGGGATTTGGCTGCACTGCGAACGGAGTTTCTACAAGCTTTACAAGCTCACACTTGCCAGTGTGGAGCATCTGGAAGCCTGGGTGCTGCAGCAGATGGAGGCGAGAACAATGGAGGTGGTGCGGGGGTTCAATATAAACCAAAACCTCGCACGAGATCTGTGGTGGCCATTGCGTTGGATGCGGTGTTGGCCGAGCAAAAGGATTGGCGAGTAAGTTCAAACGCTTCCATCCTGTTATATTGCGTGTGTATCGGTGCATAATACATCATTCCATCGTACACTATGAACAACTTACCTGCCTTCATGCTTTCTTGTCCCGATACACAATACTTTCGTGTCATGGCAGGGGGCGTGCAGTCAAGTGGTGACTTGCCTCTTCTGGACCGATGATGCAGTGGAGATTCAGTTTTACCCCAACACCGACGAGGCGCTTGGAGAATTCGCGAAATTACTATCCCCTAATGCTATGACCCATCTAAAGCTTCTTTGGAACCTAACAGTTGAATTCATCGTGGGGACTTTCAACAAGATGTGCAACACCAACAGAAGCAACGTCGCGAAGAAGCTACGAGCTGTTGTTTGGACAGCCCTGGGGAGCGTAAAGAAGCAACACAAGGTGGCAGCGCTTCCCATGGGAGTAAAAAGCCCTGAGGCCTTCTATGAACACAAGGAACTCGCCCAATATTACATGGACGGTACGTCGCATGGTGAGGGAGAGGGTGAGGTGTGCGTGGGCCCGTAGCTACTCTCATCCCTTCCTCTCTCTCTGTCCTTATCTCCCCACCATTGGCAGGACACGCACAGAGGAGGAGGGAGGGAGAGGGTGAGGAATTTCCTTACCCGTAGCTACTCTCATCCCTTCCTATCTCTCTGTCCTTATCTCCCCGCCATGGGTAGGACACGCACAGAGGAGGAGGGAGGGAGAGGGTGAGGTGTGGGTGGGCCCGTAGCTACTCTCATCCCTTCCTCTCTCTCTGTCCTTATCTCCCTGCCATTGGCAGGACACGCACAGAGGAGGAGGGAGGGAGAGGGTGAGGAGTGCGTGGGCCCGTAGCTACTCTCATCCCTTCCTCTCTCTCTGTCTCCTTATCTCCCCGCCATTGGCAGGACACGCACAGAGGAGGAGGGAAGGAGAGGCCGTGGTGTGTGTGAGCCTCCATGCTGCTTGTATTGGGTTTGATTCATACCCCGCTGCTCCCCTCATCCTTTCCTCTCTAACTGTCCTTATCTCCCTGCAATGGGCAGGAAATGCACAGAGGAGTAGGGAAGGAGGCCGTGGTGTGTGTGAGCCTCCATGCTGCTTGTATTGGGTTTGATTCATACCCCGCTGCTCCCCTCATCCTTTCCTCTCTAACTGTCCTTATCTCCCTGCAATGGGCAGGAAATGCACAGAGGAGTAGGGAAGGAGGCCGTGGTGTGTGTGAGCCTCCATGCTGCTTGTATTGGGTTTGATTCATACCCTGCTACTCCTCTCATCCTTTCCTCTGTATCTGTCCTTATCTCCCTGCCGTTGGCAGGAAATGCACAGAGGTGGAGGGAGGGAGAGGCTGAGGTGTGCATGGGTCTACATGCTGCTCATATTGGGTTTAATTCAACCATGGTATTGCTCTCATCCTTTCCCACTTATGTGCTTATCTCCCTGCCTTGGCAGGAAATGCATGAAAGCAGATGGAGGGAGTGGCTGATGTGTGTGTGGGCCTCCATGCTGCAACTATTGAGATTGGTTTTATCTCATCCTTCCTCTCTCTGTCCCTATCCCCCGTCCACTGTCAGGAAATGCGCAGAGGATGAGGGAGAGATAGGCTGAGGTTTGCGTGGGCCTCAGAGCTGCTCACGCAGCCTTCTCTATCCTTATCTCCCTGCCATTGGCAGGAAATGCAGAGGAGGGAGGGGGAGGCAAAGGTGTGCGTGGGCCTATATATTGCTCCTCTGTGCATTGCCCTCGTCTCCCTGACGTTGCTCGAGATTGAACAGATCAGTGAAGAGCTTTGAAGATGTGTACATGGCTTTATTTTGCTCTTGATGGTGTAAACTCTACCCTCCTGCTCTCACCCTAAACCCTCGCTGTGCTCCTTTACCCACTCTACAGAAGAGATGGGAGGTTTACGTATCCATGTGGATACAGAAGACACGCAGTTGCCATTCTCCAGCAAAGCCTTTGCAGTGGGGATAAGACATGCATTCACACGGACCAATGTGACACTGGGGGCGTTCAAGACCCGTCAGATCGCGTATGCTGTTCTCGTGGTAAGAACAAGTAGACAGATAATGCGCAAGCATATTTATCGGCATCTAGCGGAGCTTAATTAAAATAATCGTTGTTTCCTTGCAGCTGGAATGTCCTCTATTGGAGGAAGAGGGCAGGATGACAAACAATCCTGAAGTCAACCGGGAAAAGTACGAGAGTACTGTGGTTAAGTGCAGGAAATGGGTGGAGCTAGCTGTCACCACCATGGGCGTGCGCTATGATTCACGCAAGAACGCATTCCTGTTCGGCAATGGTGTTTGTATCGACGCGAGCGACTACCCGGCATCGCTGAAGAAAAACATCACTGGGTAGAAAGTTTCCCTCAATGTTGGTAGTTTAGTGCGTAGTAATTTGGGATTAATAGTAGTTATTGTAGGTTCTCAATACGGTAAGATTCTGTAGTGTTTTTAAAAATACTATTTATTGTATTGAATGCTTATAACGAATATATGAAATAGCCATAAATAAGTATAAATAGTAGTTGTGATAATTTAAGTGCTACGGTCTATCATGTAGCGAATAGTAAACGGGACATGTGAAATAATTGTTTTTTAGGTCCCGCGGATTCGGGCGAGCTGCGACGGAAATCTGACGGAAAACTCAAGGAATGCTCGAGCGAAATCTGTTGGTAAGCATCTGTCTGAAATCTGACTAGAAATCAGTTGGAAACATCATCGATCCAGTAGTGTGATTTCTGACGGAAGAATTTCACAGTTTTCTGTCAGATTTCCGAGGGTCAAACAGAATTCCGGCCGAACGCGTCCAGTTTTCCGACTCTGCTTTTTGTGATGCACGTTCCTGGACGTCGGATACAACGCCCTCTCTGGCTCCTTCCCGTCCTCGCTACTCAGTCTCCCGCGTCTCATCGAAGCGCGCTTGCGCCACAACTCCCTAGCGGGAAGCTTCCCGACAGGCGCGGCCTCAACCAAGCTGACCCTCCTGGACATTTCCTGGAACGAATTGCGCGGCTCGCTGCCGACGCTCATAGCCAGCAGCACGAAATTATCGCACCTCAACCTGAGCCACAACCAGTTCACAGGGACCATCCGTCCCGAGTGGAGCTCGCTGGTCAGTCTCCGCTACATCGACCTGGGCTTTAACGACCTGACTGGATTGATCCCCACAGCGTTCCAGGCGCTCACGAACCTCGATGCGTTCTACACGCCGCACAACCGCCTGTCCGGACCGGCTGTTGGCGCGTTCGCGTCGCGTGGCGACCACGATACGCGCTTCTTCCTGGACCTGAGCTACAACCGCCTGAGCACCGACAACCTGCGGCCGTTCGCCACGCTCTTCGACTTCATGGACGTCAACTTGTCGCACAACGAACTGCGCGGCTCTGTTCCACGCCGCATGTTCCAGAACGCGTCCACGCTCGTGCTGGAAATGAGCTACAACAACCTGCAAGGCGGCTTGGATGAATTCATGGCACTCACAGGCCTCTGCAGCTTGATCCTCGCCGGGAATCATCTGTGCGGCAAGATTCCCGCAAAGATAAGCGACCTCTCGCGCGTGCAGCGGCTAGTGCTAGCGTGGAATGCGCTGTCTGGGAGCATGCCAGAGGCGGTGACGGCGAGCACGGCATCGCGAAATTCCGAGTTTGCACAAAATGTACACGGTAGCTTTCCTACGGGAA